AAGAGCCATTATTCGTCCTGTGAAGACTGGACTGGACTGGACTGGACTGGACTTCAAGACCTGAACCACATAATGGACGGTTCTTATGTTCGTTTCTTTTTTCACAATGTTTGTCTCCAGAGAGCGCTGGTCAAGTGGAGAATTAACGATCTCCTAAGGAATGAACCCCTCACACATGATCATCAACATTGTCTGGTGCCTGTTATAATCCGAATGGACTATTGAAAGCATCACTGTACTGTATACTAGCGCAAGTGTACTTGAGGTCTCTAACCAATGAGGCGAGGAGATATCCTTGCTTGTTTTCCTCCCTTTCAGCATACCCCCAAGGAGACAACGTTCTGGACACGGGGTTGAAGTGTGAGGATCACAAATACCCAATCAACTGTACGCAGTGTTGGAAGCTACTCCCATCTGCCGACAACACATCGAACTGGACGCTCGATTGGCAAGAGCCATATTCGTACTGTGCAACTGAACTGAAATGGTTTTACTTTCCCGTGCTGATGAACAGTTGTCAATCCATTTAGGGTGAGGGGATTTCACTGCATGGATTGTTAAAACCAGCAGAGACTTAGCAATATCGGTGGCGGCAGATTTCTTCTGGAAAAACCAATGTGTACTGGCGGCAGCGAGGGCGAGGAGAGAGCTGTTCAAGGTCAAGTCGGTACCATCGTGTAGGTTACCCGACGTATTCCTGCCCCCGTACAAAGCCATAGTTAGGCCACACTGGGAGTACTGCGTGCAGGCTTGGGCACCCTTCCTCAAAAAGGATGCAGCTTGTTTAGAGAAAGTTCGAAGACTAACCACCCGAATGATTGAAAGCCAAAAGGCTAAGTCATACCAAGAGAGGCTAAAAGACTTGGGACTCTTCTCGCAAGAAAGGAGGAGACTAAGAGAAGACTTACTGCAGACCTTTAAGATTGTAAAATGGCTCTCGGGAGTAAGGAAAAAGAGCATGTTCCAAGAGGCTATCCACCAAGGAACTAGAGGGCATGGGTATAAACTACATAAGCAACATTGCAACCTGGTTGTTAGATCCAGCTTCTTCAACAACAGAGTAGTGAACAGTTGTAACCGGTTGCCAAAGGAATTAGTAGATTTAGGAAGCATGACTGCATTTAAGCGCGCCCTGGATGAGCGATGGTTAGAGCTCTTTCCCGAGTAGGATCTTTATTGTAATATAGAACACCTTCATGACCCATGTCCCTTGTTCGCCGAGCTTTTTCTTTTCCCTTTCGGCAAGGACGCCGTACAGAAGGCAATTCGCAGTGGTGGGTGCACACCTTGTAAGCATACTGCTGGAAGAAATCTGGACGCTCGATTGGCCGTGGCCATTATCAGTCCTGTGCAACCTGACCTGACCTGGTTCAGTTCAGTTTTCAGCTAAAAACTGATTTTTCGCAAAACAGGATGCCCACATGCTCACGAATGTTTTTATCCGTAGGTGTATTATCAGTTCAGTTTCTTACAGGACGAGTATGGCTCTTGCCAATGGAGCACCCAGTGCGTTGTGTTGTCGGCGGATGGGAGTTGCAACTACCATGGTTCCCACACTGTACATGGAAGGATTACCTGCGGTGACCTGGGTGAGGAGCTGAAAAGTTTCCATTGCGCAATGGTGCACGCACTCGCGGTCACCGTTTCATGCTCCAGAAGCAGGAATTATCCGGACTACCGTCAGTGTACCGTCTCTCCAGGAGAGTGACCAATATTTAGAATGCTCTCCCGGCGGATGTGGTGGAAGAGATGATCCAGAAGGTTGTCTCCGTGGGGAGTATGCCGAAGAAGAGAATCCCCCGCGAGAAGGGGATTTACTTGGTCTTCCATACTTCAGAAAACAGAACTCGTAGTCCTCTAAAATGCTTTATTCCACCTTTTTTAAATAGTGCTGGGGAACGGCCATTGAAACCCGGCGCTTTGTGACGTCCCAAGGTATGGATCTCCTACGTATCTCCGCCTCAGGTGGGTCTGTTGAGACAGACCATGGGACCTGTGCTGAAATAGCTGTGTGAGAAAATGACGCTAGTGGCCAGCTAAATTGTGCTTTGAAGTTCTCTGCTCAATGTGCAAGCTGTCGCTGTTGGGTGAACCGTCAGCTTCGCAGATTGTTTCGCTCACATCCAAGGCTTTCCTATCGGCAACCCGGGTGAAATAAAATAGCTTACGGGAATTACCCATGGCGACAGCACGTTCCATCTCTGACACGCGTTGAGTCCACCAGATCTCGCGGTCTCTTCTTAGGCTTGCATTAAGTTCACGTTTCATTACGAGTCGTCTTTCATTAAGATCGCTGCCGGTCGGAATAAACCGACGTGCGTCAAGAAGGCGTAGAGACTCCACAGAGATCCGGCTCGACGTGTCAAAACACAACTAAGCCAGCAGTATGCAGAGCATTCCTGATAAGCGACCAGTGCTGGTTAACATCATCGGGTGGGGTTGGTTATAGCTTTTAAGCTAGCGCGTTTTGAATGACAGTTAGACAATCTGGTTTGGACAGCTTATCACAGTCTAACCGTCGTATCGTGCGTTTGGAATGCCCACCGAAGCACATGAACAGGTTGGCACATACTACGCCAGCAAGACCGGAAGCCGCAGCCTCAGGGTCCCCAGAGAGGCGAAAATGAAACTTCACAGAGTGGTTTGATGGGGACGTCAATCGGATAAGGGAGCTGGAGTCCCGCATGCGAGTTTCTTGGATGCAACACACATCGATGGCTAGGGTTTCGAGTGTACGAACCAAACACGCNTTGTCCTATACTTATTTCAGAACGCACATTAAACGTGGCTAGTTTGAAAGGACATCGAGGGAGAAGAAGGACTTCAGCTGGTGGAAGATTCGGTGAAACTTGGATGCTAGTCGAGGTAGGACAAGAGCGAACAGCGGCAGAGTTTCCACCTGAGGCACTACTGTTAGTACGATCGTCTGAAGCACCCGAGAGAGACGTAGGAGTGTTGGGGGAGGGGAGGAGGCTGGGAGAAAAAGAGGGTGTGTATTGTGTAGAGTGTTTTTCGCTCGGTGAGGAAGCTTCAGAGTACATAGTCATAAGAGCAAGCCAGTCCATGGTTGTGTGCGCTGCGGGCTATTGTACTACTCGGTCGCCAGGTCCAGAGTAGGCCTTGTTCGTCTTTGCGCAACCAAGCGCGGACTGCAAGGTGGCATTGATGTTCCATATGAGCTGGTGGCCAGGTTTCGGTTCATTTGCCTCTTCTGGAAAACCCTGTCGGGCAATGGATCTCGATAAGGGGCAGTGGTCGTATTTAGTGGCGGGCCACATTCGCTACGTCACAGCGCTGTCCACGGATACTTGTGGTGTTTTTTACGGAGAACCGTTGCCAGGAGGTAAACCCACTACATCCTCGATCGCTATCGCTGATCGTCCACGACCGCTTATTCGGGAGGTGGGTGGAGGGCAGGGCCCACCTTTTTCACGGTTAGCCGCAAGGTGACGGCCGTTCCCCTATCCGCGACCTAGGAATGTGCGAGGTAGCATACAGCTCTGCTCTTTCGAGATAACTTCTTTTAGATCACGGCTATCAGTACTCAACACGACGAACTTCATGGCCAAAACGATGTTCTCACCAGACACGAGAAATACGAAGAGCAACCCTGATAGTTTGCAGGTTCTGTAACTCAATTTAGCATGCACTTTACACCTTCAAATTGCAGCGTGATGCTGCAAGACGAAGTGTCGCCTACCTCGGCTCTGATGGTCAAGAGTTAGTTATTGTGGATTGTTTCTCTTACCTAGGTAGTTACGTGATCAATGACGGTAGCGTAACAAAGAAGAAAACCGCACGCATTTTCAAGGCTCGGGCAATGTAAGCGGGACTGAAACACCATTGGAGTAGACGGGACATTTCATTGAGGTTAAAAGGTTGTTTATATTGTTCCACCATTTGATTAGTTGTGCATTACTATTATGATACCTTAAATTTGCGAGTTGTAAGCAAACCTGAACTTTGGATTTTTTGACAATCATTGTTTGCATAGTTTCACCGCTGTGGGTTGAATTGATCGAATTAGCGATCCACAGATAAGCCGTCGAATATTCGGTAGTTTATGAAGGATCAAGCAACAAGCAGAATTTTGACCAAGCCGCGGTTGTATCGATCAAATTTCCACTCTGCGTCAAGTCCTCGAGCTACGCCATACACACCGTCGACCAGCAGCTGTCGCGTTCCTTGACCTAAAAGGAGCCTTCGACTCAGTTGATCGTGAATCCCTTTAGGGCTTGTTTCTTCGCAAAGGAATGCCGCAGAAATATGTGAACATACTGAGTTCACTCTACTCGCATATCTCTGGGTCTACGGCGAACTGAATAAGTCGTTCGTAACTTGCAGCGGTGTACGTCAAGGGTGCCCTCTTTCGCCATTCGTTTTCAATTTTATCATAGACTCAATACTGGAGAACACACTTGGTGGTCTCCAAAATATTGATATTGAATGGGCAGCTGGAGAAAAGCTGTGCCATCTAGAGTACGCTGATTAAATCGTTTGCCTGTTCGAATCTATGGATGGTGCACAAAGAGCACTTGACAGATTAGTAAGTTCTGTCGCTCCGTTCGGCATGTGCTTCAAAGTGCAAAATGATGCTGCAAGACTGTGTCGCCGAGTTCTCTTCTGAAACTAGAGGGTCAGGAATTAGCTGAAGTTGACTGCTTCTCGTACTTAGCCAGCCGCGTGACCAACGACGGAAGTGCATCAAAGGAGATCACGACACTGCAATCAGGTTGTGATGCGTCATCCAAGCGATTGATCTTCGGCTACGGCAGTTAAATGGCATGGACCGATCGCTTTTATACAATAGGTTGGATGTAAACAGACGAACACCAATCACTTCCGCAGTAGTTAGGGTGTGGAGATGCAGCGATTTGGGTGGATGAGGTGGTAGTCGATAGATAACTTTGAAGGTTGATTTAAGCCCCACCTGAGTCTGTTAGGTGAGCGAGAATAACTTCTTGTGGTAAAGTTTCCGCCTTTTCGAAACCAGCGTCGACAGTGCTATTAACTCCACTGGGACAGTTCCCTCGCTGTTCGACCAATGTAGGTTGCGATACAGACACGGCGGAAGGCATAAAAGGCCATAGGTGAGAGCAGTGCAGGGAAACTCTTGGACGTTCTCGTTATTGGTGATCCTGTGAATACACATAACAAACTGTCTGCACTAAAGGTTTCTCTCACACCCAAACGTTTTCTGATTAGATAAGACAACTTCTCCCTTGAATGACAGTTTAATAAACACCTTTTCCTCCAGAGCTCCCGGAAAGGGCTCGTATTTTGGTCTTTGTTCTAGGTTTCGTTCGATAAACGTATAAAGGTATCCGTTTTCTCAGAGAATGTTTTTGATCTGGCCCAGTTCATCTACAAACGTAGATTCGGAGTATATCTTTCGCGCACGCGAGGTGTGTCGCTGAATACGTTCTCTCTGTTATCTGAGTGCCACGAAACTATGAACGTTGGTACATTGTCCGATCCACGTTTCTCTTCTGTGTACTCTTCTTTCCAGCAGTCCATCAGCTTTCTTGCATAAAGCAACTTCATGGAATGCTAATTTATTACTGATTATCATTACTCTTGATGTGGTTGATTCAGATCTTATTCATTTTGAAGCACTCACCTCTCTACTCTAGTTTCAACTCTCCTGTTTTTTACCTACTGTTCATCCAAATGGGTAACCAAAATACAGCAACCAAAACCAGCGCACGAAAGTGCATGGTTAATGGTTGTTCAAACGGAGCTCACCTCGAATTTCTAGAAATCGTGGATCCGTATTACTAACGGTTTGTTCGTTGATTTGTGCGAGTTACTCACTAGCATCGCTTCCATATTGGTTACGCCATCACGA